AGAGGTCAGAAGAGGGTATTGGATCCCCTGGAACTGGAGTTATGGACGATTGTTAGCTGCCATGTGGGCGCTGGGAATCAAACCCGGGTCCTCTGCAAGAGCAGTCAGTGCTCTAAACCGCTGAGCCGTCTTTCCAGCCCCTTAAAGCTTTTTTTTTTATACAAAGAATGGCATCTGTCTGGGTTTTTCTTTTTTCTCCTCCTCCTCCTCCTCCTCCTCTTCCTCCTCCTCCTCTTCTCCTTCTTCTCTTTTTTTATTTTGGTCTTTTTGAGGCAGGGTCTCACTATGTATTCCTGACCGGCTTGGAACTCACTAAGTATACAAGGCTGTCTTTGAACTCTTGAGCACTGGGATTAAAGGCATGTGCTACTATGCCTGGCCTACATCTGAGTTTCTTCTTATTAGCCTGGCATTTAAGTTTTGGGATAGCAAAAGACCCAGCAAAGGGCTTACTGACCTTTCATGCTCACAGTGCCCAGATGCTGCCCCAAGTGCCTCTACCCGGGTTGAGCAGATCAAGGTTCATGAGCTTGTGCAGGTTTCTTGGTCAAAAGATGGCAGCAAAGACATTTTCCAAATTCCCCACCATGTTTTATGGGCACCACTGGGAAATGACTTCAAAGGCAGAAAGAGTCTCACTTCTTTAAATGCCCCTACAGCAGAAACTCTAGACTCAGGTGATTCAAGACACCAGGTTCTCAGCTGATCTGTGGCACTGCAACAGAAACACAATGCTTCCTCTCACTCCAGAACCCTGGCACAACGACAAGGTGGGACAATTTCCAAGGGTACTTTGAATCCAGCATCCTCCAGATAGCTGCTATTTTCTGAAAGATGTTGATACAGCTTGCTGAGAAAAATGAGGAAGCCCCACCTTTCCCTGGGACGCTGCGAAGGTGTTGAGTATTGGTTAAATCAGTGGAAACACTATTAAAACCAAAATTAATGTTTTTGATTTTAGGCATTCTTTCTTGTTATTTTTCTTTTCCTGTAAATAAACAAAAACAGTTGGAGGATGGAGCAATCTGACTCTCCGACAGCTGTCTTTGGCTGTCTAATCAAAGGCCTGTCAGTCAAGCAACCATCTTAACCATCCAGACCAGCACTGACTGTTTTGAAGACTCAGTTTTAAGAAACTCCTACAAAATAGTTTCTTGCTCCAGCTCCTGAAGGTACAGCCCCATCACAACTGTTTTAAACAGTTTACTCTAGATTGTTATAGCAATTACAAGCCTCAGCAAATTCTAGGAGACTCTGGAACCATTTCTGTTCCAGCCACACAAGACTTCCCTGGTGGTCTAGCAGAGGTACAGTTGTGACTGTTTTTTTTTCGGTCTTTTTGAGGCAGGGTCTCCCTGTTGCCCCAGCTGGCTTGGAACTTGCTATGGAGACCAGGCTGGCCTCAAACTCAGAAATCCGCCTGGTTCTGCCACCATGCCTTGCCCAACTGTTGTGACTGGTGCAAAAGGGACAGTGCTGATTGGAGCATACACCAACCTTCGCTTGCATGAAAATTTTGATGTGACTAGTAGAAACATCCCCTGGGTGGTTATTTAATCCTGCTATTCGGCTCACCAAGTGAGCCAGTGGAAAACATCCTCTTGTACTGGTGTAGCAACATCAGTCGGTAAAAGGCAGTGTTCTTTTCTTGCCTGCTCTTAGTAGACAAGGCTGAGCAGGTAACACAAAGCACGGAGCAGAGACAGCAGAGCAGTGGTGGCAGAAGTAGCCACCGCCCTGAGAGGTGGAGTTGAGCAACCCACAGGCTGAGCTGCAGGAGCCCCAGAGTACTTGGCTGGGCTGACAGCTTGGAAAGATGGAACTGCAAGACCAACTGAGATGGAAGCAGTACCAGCAAACGGCAGCAGGAGCTACTTCCTCTGCTGTGGCGACAGGGACAGTGAACATAGCAACAAGAGGCGGCTAAGCAGTTGAAGCCAGTGACCAGTACAGGAAGTAGAGAGAACCAGAGAGAGGAGGGGGAGAGCTGAGGCAGATGAAAGAAGGCCGAAAAGAGCTGGAGAGGAGAAACTGCAGGGTCCTGGTGGCTGGGAAGGGGTCAAGCGATCTGTCAAGCCTCTGGGACCAAGGGTTTTGGACAACCCAGGCCTGGACGCTAGAACATTAGACACTGCCAAGGGCTGAAGAATCCTGCCTCAAAAGCTGTAACACTAGAGGGCACTGCCTGCTGCTCCTGCTTGTCGTCTTCTGCCTCTGCTCACTACTGTCAGCCACAGGATACAAAAGCTGCCACAGCCAGTGCTCAAGAGCGTTTCTGTGCCTATCCCGGACTTCTATCCAGGTAAAGCAAAAGGACTCCAGTCAGCTGTTTAATACTGCTTCATCCAAAAAAAAAAAAAATCTCAACTGTTTCCCAGAAGGGCAAAGGACTGTTATGAGTAATGTCCAAAGGTTTCAAGGACCTCAGAGCACTGGGTCTTTAGTAAATTAAATATCAAATTAATATCTTTAAATTAATGTCATTAAATTAATATCTCTCCTTATTAATAAATTAAATATCAATTCATTAAAACCACTTTTACATATAATTAAAAATTTATTTTTATTTTTTATCTCACGTGTATGAATGTTTTGCCTGTGTGTGAGTACACCTCATGTGTGAAGTACTCTCAGAAGGCAGAAAAGGTCATTGGCTCCTCTGAGACTAGAATTATGGACAGTTGTTAGTCACCGTGTTGGTGCTGAAAACAACATTCGGTTCTTCTGCAAGAACAGCTAGTACTTCAGTCTCTGAGCCATTTCTCCAGCCCCTCTCTTCAACATATAATATAAAGTTTTCTTCAAATAGGTCTTGTGCATTTTTGACAGACTTACACTTGACCAGAGGGTAAATACATTTTCCCGTCATTCCCACTTGTGTTTTTTAAATAGTTTTTGTAATTTAAGAAGACTAATAATACTGTATTGATCTTATGACTTTAAAAGTCTTTCTGGGAATTTTCTTGTAATTTGCTATATAATCCTAAATCTATAAATAATCACATTGTTCTCTTTGCCTCCTGCTTTCTTCAAAGCTATGAACATCTATCTTATTTCATTGGTCAAGAAATTCCATAAATGGGGCTGGAGATGGCTCAGCAGTTAAGAGCACAGGCTGTTCTTGCAGAGGACCCTGGTTCAGTTCTCAACACCCACATGGTGGCTGATGATGTTCAGTAGTTTCAGGGGAGCTGGCACCCTCTTCTGGCCTCTGTGGGCACTGCATGACATTGGTGCACTTACATCCAGCAAAACATTCATTCACATAAAAGAAAAAAAATAGTTATTATTAAAGAGATTCAATAAAATGCAACACCTACATCTAGGGCTCAGGGAACACTGCCGGGGGGAGGAAAGCTGTAAGAATCAGAGGATCAGGATGCCTGTTGAGAGATAGTGCTTTCTAGACATGGTAGGAGAGCCTTACCCATAAACTCTCAACAATATGGCTGCTAAAAAAGACTTGCATAATGAACACCAGTTGACATGCCAGTGTGGATAGGGGAAATTTCACAAGGTCCCATCTCTAGATGAAGAGCTATAGGCAATCAGTGGATACTGAGAGAGAGAATCAATTTTCTCCAGGGACTAGTCGCTTGACAGGTTATCCAATCCCAAGTGGTCAGCCCTAAGCACATGTATATATGAGCACCACCAAGTGGGCTTATCACTATACATATCAATACATATTAATATTAACATATAAATGAAAGAAGGTCCCAAGATTGAGAGGGAGTGGAAAGGACACGCAGGAGCTGGAGGAGGAAGAGGGAAGGGTGAGAATGAGGTAAATACGGTACCCACGTGTGCAATTACCAAAAACATAATTATAAAAAAGAAACTCAGTAAATTCTGAAGTGTTCAAATACTGTCGGCACCTTGTCCTCCCCACAACTTTCCTTAATGAGAAACAGGAATGCTTTCCCAGGATGTCTGATACATGTTGGAGGTTTCTGGAAGAAGACAACTTTGCAAGTTAAGCAAGCTTCTGCCTACTTACCAAGTAAAACATAAGCTGGGCTACCCTGTCTTACTAGTGTGCCATACATGTGGCTATGCACTGTGAATGGCGCTAGGGCCTTGTACACGCTAAACATACACCACAAGTGCTACTCTAGCCACAAGTCAACATAGTCTATTTGCTTCTGCACACTTATTTCTTTGTAATATGTGGAAGAATCTTGACATTGTGAATAAATAGTTAGAAACTATCCTAAGGCATTGGAAACCAAATACAGTCATCATCAGTCAGATGTCAACTCTATCAAAGTTTGTCCTTACACATTAAAAGGGGGCTTTCTCAATATCTTGTGGATGTTCAATAAGCTGTGTGTGTTTAAAGCATATGCTTGGTAAATCTGATGTGTAATGTTCCTGTTAAGCCACTGCCAATCAAGATCCTCAACCCCACCCACTTGTCTCAGTCCTGGCCAATCACCGATCATCTTTTTTCTCACTATCAATTGATATGCAATTTTGAATTTTATGTAAATGGAATCAAACAATAGTTACTCCTCTTTTTCTGATTCCTTCATATACAATACTTATTTTGATTTACTGCATCTATGAATAGCTCATTCCTTTTTATCCTGGGCAGCATCCTACCGCACAGAGATAGCACAGTCTATCTACCGACTGATGGGCTTACTCTTTCTGATAGGTGCTGAAAGATGAAGTATGTAAGACACGGTTATCTTGAACAGGGACAACTTTTGTTAGCTACTGAGAGAGGTGTGTTCCCAAAGCTGTTCACATGCAGAGCACTGTCTATACCTCTGACACAGTTCTGCAGTTTGTCTCTCCATACTGAATGCTGTCTGCTGATTACATTCATTGGAACTTCCATGAGACAAGCTAAAACCACTTTTCTTTTGCCTTCTAGAGATTTATGTATTTTTATGTGTATTAATGCTTTGCCTTCATGTATGTACCTGCACTGTGTTGCATGCCTGGTGCCCATAGAGGACAGAAGAGGACATTGAATTCCCTGGAACTGGAGTTATAGATGGCTGTGAACTGCTTTGTGGGTTCTGGGAGCCATACCATGGTCCTGACTGGTGCTCTTAACCGCCGAGCCATCTCTCCAGCACAATCATTTTTCTAATTTACAAATCCTCCTACTTTTTTCTTTCTCAGTCTTTTGTGTCTCAGTTCATCTCTGCAGAGTTTTGATTTAGTTTCACAACCTACTTAATTTTCCTCTGTGCTATTAGCACTTCTTGTATGGTTTCCCAGAATTTGTACAGATGGTTCCATAGTTCTGACATCTTAAATCATTTAAAGCATCTATAAATAAGTGCACAGAAATACATGCTATTTGTGTAAGAACTTGCCAACAACCTATCACCTCTCCATCCCCCAAGTCCTAAATTAATAGGCATGTCTTTTGCTCAGTTGCTAAGTTCTGAAGTGTTTAGTGTTCAGTGGTCATTTGTGCCATACCCAAAACAGGATCCAGGTAAGGAGCTGGAACTGTTAGAAGAACACGGGTGTTAAAAGATACAAGCATCAGGGCTTGGGCTACCTCAGGCATACAGTGGTTGCCTAGCACTGGCATTGGGCCCTCGGTTTGATGCATAACTGTAAAAAACACAACAAAAAAAATTGGAAATTGATGAAACTGTCTGATGGGGACTAGTGTCTCTATATTTACTTATGTTTGAAATTTTCCTTAATAAAGTTTTAAAAAGTTGAATTTTATTACATTTAAGCATATGAATTTCCTCCTTTATAGTGAAGTAAGTCATATTAATGGAATTTTTAATGTTGAGTTATTCCTCCTTAAACAAGAAAACTCTTCTTAGGACTTTTAAGGGAGAACTATTCTTTTATTATGTGACTGAAATTGGTTTGGTGACATTTTATAAAGAGTTTTAAAATCTACCCACCTAACCACATATCCACCCACCTAACCACCTCTCTCTCTCTCTCTCTCTCTCTCTCTCTCTCTCTCTTTTATAAAAGAATTATTTATTCCCTGAAGATCTCATCGAATGGACTGGTAAAATTATTGGGATTTTTTTTATTTTTAGAAGTAGTCTGTTGATTACATGTTCACTTTCTTCTACTTCTTTTTAAAATTTGTATTTATGTACATGTGTGTATGTGTGTCTGCATGTGTTTGCCACATTATGCGAGTGCCCAGGAGGCCCAAAGAAGGCACTGGATTCCCTGGGGGTGGAGTTACAGAAGGTTGTGAGATGCCATCAGGGTGCTGGGAACAAGGGCCCCCTGGAGGAGCAGCAGGTGTTCTAATGACTGCTGAGCCCAGAAGTCATCTCTTCAGCCCCAATGTCCTCTTTGATACCTGTTCTTTTCATGGTTTCTTACTTTTTGTGAATAAATTTGGCATTTTCCCTTTTTTCTGAAATCATACTATCTGGTTTTAAAATTCATTGGGACTTATGATCAGTGGTAATTGGCAGAACAAGAGGCCAAGCTTTCCTGCATGTGAATTTAAAAGACTAATGTGTAGTAGAAGTGAATGGAAGAGTCACTTTTATTTTTTTATTTTTTATTTTATTTTTTGTCTTTTTGAGACAGGGTCTCCCTGTAGCCCCAGCTGTCCTGGAACTCACTATGTAGACCAGGCTGGCCTTGAACTCATAAAGATCCACCTGCCTCTGCCTCCCAAGTGCTGGGATTAAAGGCGTGTGCCACCACGCCTGGCTATTTTAAAAAATAATTAATTTTATTTTATGAATGTGAGTGCTTTGCCTGCATGTATGTAAGTATGCCACATGTGTGCAGTGCTCACAGAGGCCAGAAGAGGGCGTTGGATCCTGTGGAACTGGAGTTATAGACAGTTGTTAGCCACCATGTGGGTGCTGGGAACTGAACCCAGGTCCAGTGCTCTTAACCACTGAACATTCTCTCCAGCCCCTATTTTAATTAATTAATTAATTAATTTTTGAGATAGCATCTCAGTATGTGGGCCAGGTTGACCTTGAACACTTGATCTTCCTGCCTTGGCATTGTGAGTGCTAGAAATACAGACATGGGCCACGATATTCAGCTGAGAGTTGCCTGTGTAATATCAACAGTATTGGTAGAGGAATGTTTTAAATGTAGCTAGTAGTGAATATGAAGTTCAATAACACCCATGAAATGAATTCTATCTAGTTTCAAGATTTTAAAAGTACGTACTCAGTATACCTTGGATAACGCTGCGTCCTGCGGTTAGCCACACTGATCTCACGTATGTCGCCTTTGGCGTCACCACAGATGTCGAAGAGCTCTGTACCACTTTGCACTTGTTCTTTCCGAATCACACACTGCCAGTTGCCTGCCTGCTACTCTGCTTCTCTCTTCGTGAGTGTCTGGCAGAGTGCTGGGCATCGTTTCGCTGTCTACTGGGAAGCCCCACGCGTGTCCCATGTATTGTCCTTCAGGAACTATCCTCCTTGCCTGAGAGTACTGAGGCTGGGAAGTTGGATGAAAGGAAAATCTGTGTTGACAATCTCAGATGCTTTGCTTTAATTTATGGCACTTCAAAATCAACTTGTGGAACTCGAGTAAGACTGAGTGGTATCTTATTAAATATTTTAGATCTTAATTAAGGAATAATCCTACACTAACATGGTGCTCCCAAATTCCTAGGAACCTGACATTTAAGGGGATCTTTCAAAAGTTCAGCTAAATGTCAAGGCAAACTATGAATCTTTTAAAAATTATTTATGATTATTAGTGAGTGTATGTTTGTTGTGTGTGCATGGTGTATGTGTGAACATGTGCAATGGTGCAATGTGGAGGTCATTGGACAAATTTTTGGAGTCAGTTCTCTCCTTTGATCTTTACATGTGTTGTTTCCAGGAATCAAACTCAGGTGCCAAGCATACTTGGCAAACACCTTTACCTGCTAAGCAATTTTACCACCCCAAACTTTTATCTTATGTGTGTGACTGTTTTGCATGCATGTAAGTGGACCTGCATGTACAATCATAAGAGGGCATCAGATTCCCTTAAACTGGGGGTTCCAAAAAGTTGTTAGCCACCATATGGGTGCTGAGAACTGAACCTGGATCCTCTGCAAGAGCAGCCAGTGCTCTTAACCACTAAACCATCTCTTCAGCCCCTAAACTCATAAGTTTTAATTGCATTCTTTCAGCATTTTAGAATTCAGAGTAGTGTCACTATTTAGAAAAAGATTCAACATACCTATAATTAGCTCAGGAAAATTATTTCTAATTATCTGGTGACTTTAAACTGAGTGACTATATTCCATTAGTGCTGTTTATTTCCTTTATACCTTCCAAAGTTTGAAAATAGCTATTATTGACTCATGCTGGGACTAGAATGAAAATAAAGTATTGTGGGGGAAGAACAATTACTGTCTTTTAAGGCTTAGGAACCAAGTCTTATTCCATGAGGCTACAGAATTACAGGTGAGATCCCAGAAACTGAAAGGACATGGATTCAAAACCTGCTGCCAAGATACTATTTCCCCTAACTACAAAGTTAGACCAGAATATGAGGAAAAATTTAAAGTACGAATCCCCCAGGAGGTCCCGCCCCCATGTCCATTTGTGTCCTCTCTGAGTACTTTTGCTTAGCTCCTGAAGTACTTCTCTGGGGGTAGTGCTGCTAGGTCAATCCTGGGTCCTCTAGATAGCAGGTTAGTTAAACCTGTATCAGAGCAAAGTACTCTTCAGAGTACTCCCAGTACTCCCTCTGTGACCTGCTTTAGACACCGACCTTAGACATCTGTCCACCACTGTTCAGGAGGCCATTGGTTTGGGCTGATCTACTACATCAGCCACAACGGCCCAAGTCAATCCTGAGTCACCCTTGCTGAAGCCTCATACCACCAAGCTCAAGCTGGGTTATTTGTGTAACCTTCAGAGGGGTCAGGAGACAGAGAGGGAGTTGTCAAATTCCCAGAGAGGTCAGCTTTAGCCAGCATAAGAAGTTCCATCTGGGTTGGCGGTCACAAGGAAATCAACTGGTTTTTGAGGTTTGTTTCCCTGTGCCCTTCTCTATCTGTAATGCTGTTCTCCTGGTCTGGGTGATGGAAACATTGACTCTGCTTCACAGAAGGAGTGCTGCCTCAGTGAGTCTGGAGTCACACATCTCAGCCAGTTAAGATCCTCACACCAAACTTGTTGTGACTTTGTCTTTTGACACATTTTACCTAGTTTTAACTAGTCATTTTGATATCCTACAGAGAAACCAACTTATGATCTATTTTCTAGCCTCATGTTTAAGCCCACCTCAGGCTTTGCTGTTACTTCCCCCAAACTCTGTACGTGGCATTTTCACTCCTGGCTCACCTGTGTTTTTTGGCTCCTTACTTTCTATGCAGAGAACTATTAAGAAATGTGTAGACAGAGACACTAAAGACCAGAAATTTGAAGTGTTAAAAAAAAAAGTAGATATATGGCTGAGATAAAAATCACGGTACGTATATTCCCAAGCCAGAAAGGCAATAGACATGTCAGCCACTGGGTGGAACACAGAGGCAGTGGGTCTCCTTGGCTTTCAGACCGAGTAATAGGTATGGGTGATGCTAGTCCAGAAGGTAAAAAAGATTAAAGCAAATGTAGACTAAATGGTGTACTGGGACTGCATGCACTGTTTTCAAAAGAAGTGGGCTGGGAATACAGTCCAGTTGAGTGTTTGCCTAGCATGTCCTGGGTTCAGCACCACATAAATCTAGGCATGGCATGGCACAAGCCTATTATGCCAGTATTCAGGAGGTATAGGCAGGAAGATCTGAAGTTCAGGGTCACTACATAGTGAGTTCAATGCCAATCGACCTATATGAGGCCCTGTCTCAAACAACAACAAAAAGTAAAGAGGGATTGGTAGGAGAAAAGGAGGGATGGGGCACCTTTATATTCTGTATGATAAGGGTGTATGTATACTTCATATTGTGAAAGGAATCTGCACACACACACACACACACACACACAGACACACATGATAGCTCAACAAGTACACACTGCTGATGGCTTGTTTGTTCTGAGTTCATCTTTGGTGCAAGTTGCTTTCGGGAAGAATGAGAAACTCAAAGGCCTTGGAGGTATTTGAACCCAACCCCACAAAGAGATAATGGGAGAGAGGTACGAGGCTGTCACAGGTGCAGGACAGAGACATAGCTTCCCACTATCACCTTCGGCAGTCTGAGGAGTTCCTTTACACTTTTAGGGTCCTTGACACAGACTAAAACACAATTCATTGCTTCAATGCTGAAATTTCAGCAATAGCCAGTTTATGAAGCAGAGTTGGAGATTTTATTAAAGATATTTTAATATCGACATAAGCACAGGGGTTAAGTGAAAGACATTCTCAGAATTAAGACACACGGGAATATGAGTGTGTCCTTCTCAAAGAAAGTTTCAGAAAGTGAGTACCAGTGCGGGTACGGAAGTCTCAGGGCAGAGTAAGCAAGTATCTTAGCCTTAGCCATGTACACCACTTTGGTGACTCTCAAGCTACATCGAAAAGGTTAAGAAACCCCCTTCCTTTCTGTTTTCTTTTTCCTCTTTCCTCTTTTGATAAATGAGATAAGTGAGGTGGCTCTGGAGCTGCCTTGGGTGGAATTGGCATGTGACAAAGTGGGACCAAGAGCAGTAGCATTGTACAAGGGCACTTGTCCTTTTCCCATAAACCAGCTTTCAGGTGAGATTCCTAGAAAACCGCAAGTTCATACCTGGGAAGCTGCGATTCATAATTGTGTTGGAATTCTCCCTTGCCACTGGCAAAGTCTTCCTCCTGACTCTGGGGTGAGGGGTCGGTCCTCTTCCTTCTCATGTCCCCCAAGCTTTCCCTGCCTTTCTGTCCTATCGTCCTTCCCTTCTGAGACTTTCATCCCTGAAGCATTGCTGAAGGCAGAAGGTCCGTCTTCCCAGAGCTTTTCAGGCTTAGTAGGGAGAGAGGCACTGACACTAGGACTCTCCATGCCAAGGCTGAGCTCTTGACCACAGAGAGGGCTCACCTTTGAAACGGGTGTCTTTGTTCCATTCCCTCTAAGTGCTCTAGCTGCAGAGAGAGGGAAGGCAGATTGTTTTCTGAGATGTTAATCCTGTTTTCCTAGATTGCTGACTCTCTGATGCATTACAGCTTGAAATTGTTCCCTGCTCATTGGCGTTCTTGGTGAAAGGCAGCATGAACTCTGCTACTCCAGCCACAGGTCTTCTCTTGTGTACACATGAAGCTTACTAGAAACAACAGTGGATGTTCTCTGCTGTGCTCCTATGTGTGAGATGGTGGAAAGTTACAGAAAGAGCTAAAACTTCTGGTCTGACACCAAATCATCCACAGCTCAATCTTACATGGGCAGGAATTCTGAACTGTCATTGTAACCATGCTGGCAAGAATGAGGATATTATAAAGAGATACTTATGCCCCTGCCTTTGGCTATTGAACTATTGAGACAACTGACCCTAAGGAACTGGAATTTCCCCAGGGATACCATGCTGGGAGAAGGAAAAGTCTGGGGCCTTACCACCAGCCAGAGAGGAAAAAATTTCACACAGTGCTGACAACTTGTCAGATCATCTTGCTGTAGAGACGGGAGCCCAGGGAACAGGGATGGAACCACATCTTGAGTAGGACTGTTTAGTTCTGTGTACTTTTTGCCTTCTGCTTAACCTAACCCTCATGTTCGGACAGGACAGCAAGATGGAGGGGGCGGGGCATGGGGCTGACTTGTCTCTCTTCCCAGCACGGCCATATTGAATAATGTTTTTCAGTTTTTCGCTTTTTTCTATTTTTAAATTTTGTTTATTATTTTTATTTTATGTGTATGAGTGTTATGCCTGCATATAGGTAAGTGCACCCGTGTCATGCATTGCCCGAGGAGGACAGAAGAGGCTATTGGATCCCCTGGAACTGGAGTTACGGACAGTTGTTAGCTGCCATGTGGGTGCTGGGATTTGAACCTGGGTCTTTTGCAAGAACAGTGTTCTTAACCGCTGAGCCATCTAATTGGTTTATTAAGGAATAGGTGGTTGAACTTGGCTTATTAGGACCTGAAAGGGCCTAGGATCTGATCCCAACAGTGCTGGTAACATTATCGTAACATCTGGCTCTCAGTAGGACGCTCACATATCCAGTGCAGGAAATTTTAATGTTTCTAGAAAGAAATCAAGGAAGATGGAAAACAACTATTGCCAAAAAAAAAAAAAAAAAAGTAAGAAAGAGCTAATTTACTCAAAGTCAATCTGAAAATCAAAATTTCAAAGCATATGCAAAAGTACCATTAGAATGGCAATAAAGGCCCATTAAGAAAAACTCCAGGTCAGAATATTATCTCTGTCCTAGGAGGAGACCTATCATTCCAGTTGGGCTGAATTGATCACCTGGCCACAGAATCATCCCTACAAAGGCAGGTTCACCTTATCCATGCTAATGAGATAGGCAGAATAATTCATCCTTTAATGGGACACTACTTTTCCTTCCTTCTCCAACATTTTGGGTTT